ATTCACCATTCTGGATGCCATTAAGAACATTCATAATTCATGGGAGGTGGTCAAAAATATCAACATTAACAAGAGTTTGGAGGATGTGGACTCCAACCCTTCAGAATGAATTTGAGGAGCTCAAGACGTCACTGGAGGAAATGAAGTGCAGATGTGGTTGAAAGAGCAAGAGAACCAGAAGTGGAGCCTGAAGATGTAACGAAATGTATGACATTTTAATCTCCTTCTAAAACTTGATTGAATGAGGTGTTGCTTCTTATGGATGAGCAAAGAGTGGTTTCTTGAGATGGAATCTACTCCTGCTGAAGATGTTCACAGCATTGTTGAAAAGACAACAAAGGATTTAGAATTACATAAACGTAGTTGATAAAGGAGTGGCAGAGCTTGAGAGGATTGACTCCAATGTTGAAAGAAGTTCCACCGCAGATGAAATGCTATCAAATAGCATCACATGCAATAGATAAATCTTCCTGAAAGGAATAGTCCATCTATGTGGCAAACTTTCTTGTTGTCTTACTTTAAGAAGTTACGACCGCCACTTCAGCCTTCAGCAACCACCATCCTGATCAGTCAGCAGTCATCGACATCCAGGCAAGAGCCTCCACTGGCAAAAAGATTATCGCTTGGTGAAGGCACCAATGATCGTCAGCAATTTTTAGCAAAAAGGTCTTTTACATAAAGGTATGTACCTTTTCTTAGACATCATGCTATCGCACATTTAATAAACTACAGTATAGTGTAAACATAAATTTTATGTGCGCTAGAAAACCAAAAAACTTGTGTGACTCGCTTTATTCCAGTATTCACTTCCTTGTGGTGATCTGGGAATTGCCCACACTATCTCCAAGGTATGCCTGTATAAGAGACTGGACCTGCTGCTACTTGACAGAGGGAAGCAAGGTTATTTTATCGTTTTATAACAAAATGCCATACTTCCTTTACCAAGCAAGAATTTGTTTTCCAAGCAATATCAATAAAAGCGATGTGATTATTTCATTTTTCTAGAGCTTCATCCCTTGCTTCCTTTTCTCTTCTTATCCCCATTTATTTTCATCTATTTTTAATTTACATTATCTTGTTGCATTTCGTGTATCCATATAAACTGCCTTATGTACTTCCTGAAACAAGATAAAATCATACAAAGTATAATGTAAGGTATAGATGACATTTTCATTTAATGGACTTTGCACACAGTAGGATTAATCTGATATTTATTGCTTTATTTCATTCATGGACATCTGAGAATCTTGAATGGATGTCTGGCTATAAAAAATAGTTATTACAGTAAACTGAATAATGGCTCCTAAATATGTCCTAATCTCTGGAACCTAGAAATGTTACCTTGTGTGGAAAAAGTCTTTGCAGATGTGATTAAGTTAAAGGTCTTGAGAGAGAGAGAGATTATCCTGGATTATCCAGGTAGGCTCTAAATGAAATCACAAGTGTCCTTATAAGAGAGAGGCAGAGGGCAGTTTGACGCAAACAGAAGAGAAAGCAGTGTAACCACAGAGGCAGAGAGATTAGAGTGATGCAGCCAAAGAACATCGGCAGCCACCAGAAACTGAAAGAGGCAAAGACAGTTTCTTTCTTAGAATCTCCAGAGGGAGGGCAGCCCCACCAACACCTTGATTTCCGCCTAGTGATAGTGACTTTGGAATTCTAACCTCCAAACTATGAGACAGTACAATTTTATTGTTTTAAGCCACCAAGTTTGTGGTAATTTTTACAGTGGCCATGAGAACCTAACAGAGTAATTAATTTGAATATATGCAAATGTTAAAAGGAGACAGTGTTCCTTGTAACATTGAAGACATTGGGAAACGCAAAAACAACAAAGTTATTTCCATTTAGAATGATAAAATATTGAAGCGTAGTTTAAAAGGATCAGGAAGTTTTTATTTCAAAGGACTACCATATGTTTCAGGAAAATGCTACATTTCTAACGCAATTCCCTCTCTAACATGTCAATTATCTTAAAGCAACATTATCTGGTACCAGTGGAAAGCAAATAGTAATGCCATTCTCCTGTGGACATCTCACTCCACGTTGTTCTCCAGTCACTCTTCAGTGGACCGCTCCCCTTATAAGCCTTACCACCTTCCCTGAAAGTCCTCTTGTTTTGCTGGAAGTAATCTATTCTTTTACTAAAGCAAAGAACATATTTGGATAATTTCACCTATGGGAAAGTTTCTAGTGCAGTAAGTTGCTGCACTTACCCAGCTATATGAGCGAATAATGTCCATAGCACCCTGGTGGCTTCCTGGACAATACGAGGCACAATTCATCAGCACCTGCCTGTCTAACCTCACTTATCCTTGTTTGTCTCTTGATTAGCAGGCAGAAAGATAAGCCGTCTTCACCCTAGATAACTATAAAATAAACTATGCTGAAGGTGGAAACTTACACTTGGAAAATCACAGGACTGTCTTAGCTAGATTCTAAGAGGTAAATCATTCATTTAGCCAGAAAAATGTACAAGCGGAAAAAAGATTTCTCTTTATGCTATAAGCAGTTTGTGAAAAGTTTTTTCTTAAAGAACTCAATATGTCTGCTTTCTAAATAACAAAACGTCTGAAAATGAGAAACTTAAAATGCTAGGCAAGTGAGGATTTAAGAGTAAGTATCCTCCATTTGATTGTACAAGTAGGAAGCTGGGGTCATCTTTGACACTGCCCCCCTTCATATTCAATCCAATTTTGACTTTTCTTAAGATTTTACCATTTATTTTTTGTTCTCTTTTTGTTTGTCTGTTTTTGAGATAGAGTCTTGTCCTCTTGCCCAAGCTGGAGTGCAGTGGTGTAATCACAGCTCACTGCTGCCTCGACCTGCTGGACTCAGGGGATCCTCACTCCTCAATCCCCCAAATATCTGGGACTGCAGGGAGGCATCACCATATCCAGCTAATTTTTATATTTTTGGGGGGAGACAGGGTTTCACCACATTGCCCAGGCTAGGCTTTTACTCCTGGGCTCAAAAAATCTATCTTCTGCCTCAGCTTCCCAATGTGCTGGAATTACTGGCGTGAACCACTATGGCTGGCCTTTTTTTTTTTTTTGAGACAGGTTCTCACTCTTGTCCAGGCTAGAAAGCAGTGGTGGGATCTTGGCTCACTGTAGCCTCAAACTTCTGATCTCAAGCAATCCTCCCACTCCACCTTCCAACTAGCTAGGCCTACAGGCACATGCCACCACACTCGACTAATTTTGTTTATTTTTTTGTAGACATGAGGTCTCACTATGTAGTCCAGGCTGGTCTTGAACTCCCAGGCTTTAAGTGATCCTCCCACCTTGGCCTCCCAAAATGCTAGGATTACAGGCGTGAGCCACTGCAGCCGGCCTCTTAAGTATTTCTAAAATCTGTTCACTTTTCTCATATCCATTTGCCTTTTTACTAGTCCTCTTTACTCCCAAAGTTTTCATCTAGTCATGAGGGGAAAAGAAGTGCACCACAGGGCGGCTGGAGAGTCAGGTGGGGACTGAAGTTTTACCTTTCCTTCAAAAGTCACAGGCTTTGAGTGAGAATGGGTCCCTCACCCCATCAACTTTGCTACTCCTTACTTATCTAGCTGTAAACAAGGAATTTATTAAAAAGTCATGGCAAAAATCGAAATTACTTTTGCACAGACCTAGTACCTCCCATGCTTGTTTCCGACTCTCTGTGGAATGGGAATAAGAACACCAACTACCTCATGGAACTGCTGTGCACAGGAAATGAGTCCGTCAATACACGCAAAGCACAAAGAACAGAGACAGGGACACGATAAACAATCTGCTCTCCTGGTTGCTGCATACTAGGGTTATAGCTTTTCAGGCTCTTGCTGTACTCTGAGGCCCTTTCTTAGCATTCACATGGTAGTGATTTTACATGTTATTTTTCAAATAGCCATTAAATTAATATTTGTCTCTTCCTCTACTGTAAAATTCATGAAGCAGATACCAAGTCTGCCTTTGCTCTTCTTAGCACAGTGCTTGGCAAAGGAAAGCACCGAAATATTTGTTAAGTAAATCTTTTAAGTAAAGCAAACCAATAAAGCAAACCAGTGACCCCAGTGGTTACCAGTCTGTAGTTTAGGATGTCTTCAGAAGTTCTCCGAATGTTTCCTATCTGCAATAGTTCTTCTCCAACCTCACTAACAGAATCACCTCAGAAGCTTTCAAATATGCCCATGTTCAGGCTCCAAAGATTCCATTTTGACTGGGATGGGGTTGGCCAGGGCCGGTATTGAAGACTCTCTAAATAATTCTAATTTGCAAGTCAGGTTGGAAAGCTCCGGTGCTGCTATCACCAGCTTCAGTTCCGGTGTGAAGGCCTCCAATCTGATCTCTGCTTTAGAATTTGACCAACTACCGGCACCCTTGGTTGAATTACCCTTTCCTATCTACATAATAGAGGAAAAATATGGGAAGCGGCAGCTTTATGGGCAGGACCTAGGCGGATGGAACAAACCAGTAAGGTTCCTGCTGTTCAGACAATTGTAATCCTGGCAGCGAACCTGTTGGGCGACTCCCGGCCCAGGCACTCGCCAACCCACTCTCATTCAGGGTGTTCTGCCCGTAGAGGGCGAGCGCATCGGGTCGTGAACCTCTTCTTTTTCTTCTTTTTTTTTTTTTTTAAATAGGATTTTATTTATATTAAGAGCCACCACAGAGTTTCCCACGGTGTAAAAGAATGGTGGCGATGATTGCCTTAAAGGCTGAACTCCGCAACCCGTCCCTTCTGCGCGTTGCTCCCAAGGTAGATCCGTTTCCTTCCCACCTGCCTCTCGCTCCACATCCGCCCACCTCTGCCCTGTCCACGGTCCATTTACCCCCATTCTTGAACGATTCCATCGGAATTCCCGAACCCGGTTCCAAGGGTGACTCCGAGATATGAGGCCGCCCTTCGTGAAGCCACCGCAGGCTCCTCCAGCGGACAGCCTCTGGAGCAGGGAGCCGGGCGGCCGGGGGCCCCGTGCGCCACTGGGGGCAGAGGTCGCTCCCGGATCGCGGGAAGGGACTCACGTGTGGCTCTGCGGGAGGTCAGGGGGCCGGTAACGCTCATCCTGGCCTCGGAAGGCGGGTCCCCGCGAGGGAATGCACTCGCGTAGGCTGGCTGCGGAGCCACCCCCTCGGCGGACGATCCCCTCAAGCCCTGACTTAGGAGCCAACAAGCCGCGAGTCCACGGCCCTGGGCGAAAAGAGTCGCATTCCCTCCCCACGCCCTCAAGGTAAAGGGACCGAAACGCGCATTCCGGACCCGGCACAACAGGTCCTCCGGGCACCCGCGAGGCTGGGGAGGTCGGGGGCGACTGATTGCGAAGAGGGTAGAGCGTTCCACGGGCGCATTTCCTGCGGAGGGGCCTCTCCACTTACGGATCTTACTTTACCGATCCCCAGACCCACAGCAAATCCTGAGTTTGGGGCACAGGCATCATACCAAAGGCGCGGGTGGGAGTGGAGTGCCAAAGGCGCGGGTGGGAGTGGAGTTCTGGACGCTTGGTGTGGAACCAATCTGTTCTGTCCGAGAGCGAAGTTAGGTGGAGCAGGAAAAAAGCCTGTATGCGCGACCCGGGACCTGACTCTCGGGGCGATCGGCGACCACTCACCTTGTGCCTGCGCCTCCATGGTGGTTGACTTCGAGCTGAGGGCGGCGGGGACACCCCGGTGCTTCCCAGAGCAGATGGCAGCTGTGCCCGGGCTCAGAACGCAGCTGGCCCAGCTGTTCGCTCCCACTCCTGGCACGCGTGTCGCGAGCGCTGTGCGGAGGGACGCAGGCAGCCGCCACTGGCCGCTTCTGATTACCTCCGCCCCTTCCAGTCCACCTGGCCCAAACCAAGCTGGAAAGAGCTCGCCGCTGGGCGCCACCTGCCGGCGCTCTGCACCGCGGGCGGACGGCACCCTCTCCCCGCGCTATACGGGCAAACCGCAGGGATATTACAGGTTAGGTTCCAGACCCCCGCAATAAAGCGAGCAGTGCAAAAAAATGAGTCACACGAATTTTTCAGTTTCCAAATGCATATAAAAGTTACGTTTACACTACGCTGTAGTCTAAAAGAGCAATGTACATAGCTTAATTTTAAAAGATATTTTATTTCTAAAAGATACTAAAGATCAACTTCACCTAATGGTAATATTTTTGCTGGAGGAGGGCATCGCTTGGACGTTGATGGCTGCTGATTGATCCTGGTGGTGATTGCTGAAGGCTGGAATAGCTGTGTCAATTTCTTAAAATGGGACAACAATGAAGTTTGCTGCATCAATTGACTCTTTTTAATGAAAGATTTTTCTGTAGCATGCAATGCTGGCTGATAGCATGTTATCCACATTGTAACTTTTTTCAAAATTGGAGTCAGTTATCTCAAACCCTGCCATTGCTTTATCAACTAAGTTTATATAATTATAAATCCTTTGCTGTCATTTCAACAATGCTCTGAACAACTTCACCAGGAGTAGATTCCATCTCAAGTAACCACTGTCTTTGCTCATCTATAGGAAGTAACCCCTTAACCATTCAAGTCTTAGGCGATTGACCAACTTAGTCACATATTCAGGCTCCACTTCTAATTCTAATTCTCTTGCTATTCCTATCACATCTGCAGTTACTTCCTGCTTTGAAATCTTTAATCCCCAAAGTTATTCAGGAGGGTTGGAAGCAACTTTTTCCAAACTCCTGTTAATGTTGACTTTTTGACCTCCTCCCATGAATTATGAATGTTCTTAATGGCATCTAGAATGCTGAATCCTTTCCAGAAAGTTTTTAATTTACTTTGCCCAGATCCAACAGAAGAATCACTATCTATGGCAGCTATATCCTTACAAAATTTATTTCTTAAATAATAAAGCTTGAATGTCAAAATTACTCCTTTATCCATGGGCAGCAGGATTGATGTTGTATTTCCCAGGCATGAATACAACATTAATCTCTTTGTACATCTCCATTAACACTTGAGTGACCAAGTATATTATCAATCAACAATAATATTTAGAAAAGTATTTTTTGAGCAGTAGGTCTTAATAGTGGACTTAAAATATTCAATAAGCCATGCTGTAAACAGATGTGCTGTCATTCAAGTTTTGTTGTCCCATTTATAGAGTACAGGTGGAATATATTTAGCATAATTCTTAAGGACTCCAAAATTTTCAGAATGGTAAATGAACTTTGGCTTCAGTATAAAGTCACCAGCTACTTTTGCCCATAACAAGAGAGTCAGTTTGTCCTTTGAAGCTTTGAAACCAGGCATTGACTTCTTTGTAGCTATAAAAGTCCTTGTTAGCATCTTCTTCCAGTATAAGGCTGTTTCATCTGTACTGAAAATGTGTTGTTTAGTGTAGCCACCTTCATCAGTGGTTTTAGCCAGATCTTCTGGAGAGCTTTCTGCAGCTTTGGCATCAGCCCTTCCTGCTTCACCTTACATTTTCATGCTATGGAAATGACTTCTTTCCTTAAACTTCATAAGCCAGTCTCTGCTAGCTGCCAACTTTTCTTCTGCAGATTTCTCACCTGTCTCAGGCTTTATAGAATTGAAGAGAGTTAGGGCTTTGCCCTGGATTAGGCTGTGGTTACAGGAATGCTGTGGCTGCTTTGATCTGGTTTAATCCAGACCACTCAAACTTTTCCTATATCTGCAAGAAGACTTTCACTTCCTTATCGTTTATGTGTTCACTGGAGTAGCACTTTTAATCTCCTTCAAAAAGTCTTCTTTCACATTGACAGCTTGAATAATTCACACAACAGACCTAGCTTTTGGCCTGTCACAGCTTTCAACATGCCTTCCTCACCAAACTCAATCATTTCTAGCTGTTGATTTACGGTGAGAGACGTGACTCTTCCTTTCATATGAATACGGGAAGGCCATTGTAGGGTTATTAATGGGCATAATTACAATATGCCCGTTGTGTCTCAGAGAATGGAGAGGCTTAAGAAGAGGGAGAGAGATGGGGAAACAGCTGGCCAGTGGAGCAGTCAGAACACATACAAGATTTATTGATTCAGTTCACCATCTTATATGGGCATGGTTCATGGTTCCTCAAAATAATTGCAATGGTGACATCAAAGATCACTGATCCCGATCACCTTAACTGATATAATATAATGAAAAAGCTTGAAATATTGTGAGAATTACTAAAGTGTGACACAGAGACATCAAGTGAGCACATAGCATTGGAAAAATGGCACCAATAGATTTGCTCAACACAGGGATACCACAAACCTCCAAACTTGTTAAAAACGTGGTGGTTCACGTCTGTAATCCCAGCACTTTGGGAGGCCGAGGTGGACAGATCGCGAGATCAGGAGACAGAGACCATCTGGCTAACATGGTAAAACCCCATCTCTACTAAAAATACAAGGCTGGGCGTGGTAGCACATGCCTGTAGTCCCAGCTAATTGTGAGGCTGAAGCAGGAGAATCACTTGAACCCAGGAGGCAGAGGTTGCAGTGAGCTGAGATCTCACCACTGTACTCCAGCCTGGGTGACAGAGGAAGACTCCATCTCAAACAAGACAAAACAGAAAAAAAAAACAAAAACCAACACCACCAACAAAATGCAGTATCTGTGAAACATAATGAACTATGCCTGTAAAGGTCTGATGCAACTGAAGTTGTCCTTGAGCTTTGCAGTATGGGACAAATGCCCTGGACAGAGGAAGAGAACATGGTTTTACAATACTGAGCCATTACTCTTAGTGGCGATACAAAGTTAGGTTTCCACAAGCCTTGGTTCCAACATTTTTGTCAACTGATCAATACATAATTTTGTTTTATGTATATTTTAGTTTAAAGACACCTTATTTCATGTATATCATGTATATTGTTGCTTCATTAACTTTGAGCTCACAGCCAACAGCACTAGAACTCATATCAGAATGAAGTTTATTAAGCTTAATGTTTGTGTTTTCTCTCTAAGGCTTATCACAGCCTTCTTGCACGTAGGAACACTAGACAGTAGTTCAATGCTATGCTTGGGGGCCCAGAAAAATCATACACACACATATACAAAAAGTCTGTTTACAGGCTGGAGAGATGAAACAAGAAAGCAGGGCTGCCTTGTTTTTCCTCTGTGAGAAACTTGAGTCTTCTGGGGTCTCTGTCCACGTGTGCCTGTAGGTTGTACTTGCAGGTTGATGAAGCCGACAAGTTTACAAACAGGACTAGAAACTCACAGTCCTGTTCCAAGGCTTGCCTTTCTAATGTGATTAGAAAGAATGATAAGCAGTAAGAAATATCAGCTCCCATCTCTACTCTACTGGCTTTTGACCATGACAGATCTTTCCTTTTTCTCAAGATCTACACAATCTTCATCTGTAATATGTAATATGGTACTTATTTACATTTGGTCTTGAATAGTTTGTCATTTGGGTTTTTTTTCCTCTTCTTAAAATAGATGGCAAAGTCTGTCACGGTTGAGTGTGGGTATATTAAACCTCCCATAATTTCTTCCAAAAAGTCTTATAAAAATTCCATAGCTCAAAATGATTGATTGAATAAACTATTAACTAACCAGTAGGTTACACTTTATCCATGCCCATGTTACTTGCACAGTATAGACTAACAAACATAAAGGGAGTCTTACATTTTTTTTTCTTGAAAGAAGGAATATTACTCATGTTTCCTGGCACATGTACAAATGCCTCAGTGTGGTTTTTGTTATGTTGAAGATCTCACTGATTTGTAATCATTGCCAATAAAATTGCTATGTAGAATGCTAAGCATAGGGCTTTTAAATGACTTTTGGTAATAGTGACCAGGGATGCATGAAGTAAAGAATCAGTGATTAAATCACTTTTAGAGTCTATTCAGTTGTTCTGGTCTTCTCTATCCTGGAAATTAAACACCAGGTTACGGTTGACTCCCAGCTGCTAAAAAAAGCTAAAAATAGTTAACGACTTTCCAGCTTGAGTCATCTAAGCCTCATCTAAACTCTGGCTTATTTTTCTGATTTATAACATTTTAAGTTACTACTCTTTAAAATTTTCAATCATTTATAATAGTAAAACATTGGTATTTATTCCAAAATAGTTATTGAACATCTATGTGCCAGGAACTGTGCTAGATGCTAAGGGTGTAGGTAAAGGCCATGATCCTTCCTAACCAGGGAGTTCATGATCGGGTGAGAAGGAGGGATAAACAGGTTTTTTATAAAGCAGTGCCTCATGGTAAGCGCTGTGCCAGTGGGTGAGCCCAGGGCATCTGTGAGCACTGAGGGAAGCCTCCTAATTCAGGCCGGTGAGAAGATACAGAAAAGTTTCTTTCAAAATACTGGCCTGAGCTGTGTCTTAAAGAGTAAAGGAATTAGCCAGGTAAATTTGTGTTATTGCCCAAATAATGGTTTAGCCAGAGAAGACTATTATTGAAGTTAACAT